TACAAAATCCCTATTTTTTTGTATTTTTTTCCCACTTTCCGAACTTTTGTTCATTTTTCCAACTTCCCTATTTTTTCCCTACTCCTCCACAGATCCCACTTTTTTTACTCCCTATATCCCACATCCCTAAAGCTCATTTCCCCAGATGCCACCTTTTTACCCCACTATATTGCACATCCCTAAAGCTCATTTCCCCAGATCCCACTTTTTTTACTCCCTATGTCTCACATCCCTAAAGCTCATTTCCACAGATCCCACTTTTTTTACTCCCTATATCACACATTCCAAAAGCTCATTTCCCCAGATCCCACTTTTTAACTTCCTATATCCCACATCCATAAAGCTCATTTCCCCAGATCCCACTTTTTTACTTCCTATATCCCACATCCCAAAAGCTCATTTCCCCAGATCCCACTTTTTTACCCCACTATATTGCACATCCCAAAAATGTGTCATCCCCCTCAAATATAGTCAATTTGCTGCACAAGTATTGAGAGCTGTAGTTTCTTCACATAGCACTAGGTTTCACCGCACATGGCTGTGGGAGAGTTTGCCAAGAACGTTTACAAGGATAAGATAAAATATTTATTAGTATAAAATCGGATTGCTACTCAATAACACAAATAAACAATAAACAATGCAAATCATGATGTACCATTTACAAAAAAGAAAAAATATTTTTGAAAAAATCTACAAGGTACTACTAATAACCAAAAAGATATCTAAAGGCTCCAATAGATCTAAATCAAAAACGCGTCCCCAGTCTGAATAGTTGTGAATAACAGAGAGACTATATATCATGCTGGTCGTCCCTAGTCTGAATAGTTGTGAATAACAGAGAGACTTTATATCATGCTGGTCGTCCCCAGTCTAAATAGTTGTGAATAGATTAACAGAGAGACTATATATCATGCTGGTCGTCCCCAGTCTAAATAGTTGTGAATAGATTAACAGAGAGACTATATATCATGCTGGTCGTCCCCAGTCTAAATAGTTGTGAATAGATTAACAGAGAGACTATCTATCTTGCTGGTCGTCCCCAGTCTAAATAGTTGTGAATAGATTAACAGAGAGACAATCTATCATGCTGGTCGTCCCCAGTCTAAATAGTTGTGAATAGATTAACAGAGAGACTATCTATCATGCTGGTCGTCCCCAGTCTAAATAGTTGTGAATAGATTAACAGAGAGACTATCTATCATGCTGGTCGTCCCCAGTCTAAATAGTTGTGAATAGATTAACAGAGAGACTATCTATCATGCTGGTCGTCCCCAGTCTAAATAGTTGTGAATAGATTAACAGAGAGACTATCTATCATGCTGGTCGTCCCCAGTCTAAATAGTTGTGAATAGATTAACAGAGAGACTATATATCATGCTGGTCGTCCCCAGTCTAAATAGTTGTGAATAGATTAACAGAGAGACTATATATCATGCTGGTCGTCCCCAGTCTGAATAGTTGTGAATAGATTAACAGACAGACTATCTATCATGCTGGTCGTCCCCAGTCTAAATAGTTGTGACTAGATTACCAGAGAGACTATCTATCATGCTGGTCGTCCCCAGTCTAAATAGTTGTGACTAGATTAACAGAGAGACTATCTATCATGCTGGTCGTCCCCAGTCTAAATAGTTGTGACTAGATTAACAGAGAGACTATCTATCATGCTGGTCGTCCCCAGTCTAAATAGTTGTGACTAGATTAACAGAGAGACTATCTATCATGCTGGTCGTCCCCAGTCTAAATAGTTGTGATTAACAGAGAGACTATCTATCATGCTGGTCGTCCCCAGTCTAAATAATTGTGAATAGATTAACAGAGAGACTATATATCATGCTGGTCGTCCCCAGTCTAAATAGTTGTGAATAGATTAACAGAGAGACTATATATCATGCTGGTCGTCCCCAGTCTGAATAGTTGTGAATAGATTAACAGAGAGACTATCTATCATGCTGGTCGTCCCCAGTCTAAATAGTTGTGAATAGATTAACAGAGAGACTATCTATCATGCTGGTCGTCCCCAGTCTAAATAGTTGTGAATAGATTAACAGAGAGACTATCTATCATGCTGGTCGTCCCCAGTCTAAATAGTTGTGAATAGATTAACAGAGAGACTATCTATCATGCTGGTCGTCCCCAGTCTAAATAGTTGTGAATAGATTAACAGAGAGACTATATATCATGCTGGTCATGAACAATTCTGTAAGAAGACTTGGGACTAAATTAAGGAAAGCTTAAAAAGATATGAATCAATAAGGTATCCAATATTTGCATAAGAAGCTGTAGATATAAATAGACAAGAAAAATATAGTCTTTTAAGAATAAGCAGTGTTCCTTAGAAATTTGATAATACTTATAAGTATGAGCAAATAGACTTTTTATATATTTATACAAACTAGATTATCTGTTAACATACTACAAACCTTGGACGACATTAAAGCTTTTTATGTAAAACGGCAATTTAATTTGAAGTGCTAACGATCCAGTGGGCGTGATGGATATACCATGGGGTTCGTATATCTTTTAAACATGAAAGTCACTTTGTACTTTAAATTAATGATCATTTATTTCGTGAAAAGTGCTCATTTCACGAAATAAATCTATTTGTTGAGACCGCCTAATACTTTAGTTTTTCAATTTAACAAAATACGAAAACTTTTTGAAGAAATCTGAATTATCTACATTCTGATAATAGATCAGAAATATTTGATGATGTTTTTTTTTTACTTTTAATTCAGGGCAAATTTATCGCAAACAAAATCCCTGCACTAACATGACAAAATGGAAAGAAAGGACAAACAGAATTTTGTTCTTGTCTTCCATCTCAATGAGGTCCCTCACTTGAAACAAGCTTTTAAAATGAAAAAAGAAGTTATTTATTGTTCATATTTGTAAACTTAACAAAGCGTTTGAATCGGACACCCAAGTTAAGTTAGTTTAACTTTAATCAACCTAGTGAATTGCAGCAGAATCTAATTGTTCTGTATTGTTTCACATGATGTTTATCTCGGGGCCTGTTACACATTACTACAAGGCATTGGTTTTGCTATCTGTAGAAGGACGCACGTTAACCTCTGGAACCCAGATGACCTTCATTTGTTTACATTCTATTTCTTTGGTCTCTGGTGGGTTGTTATATCATTGGCAATCATACCACTAGTCCTTGGTGGATTGTTATATCATTGGCAATCATACCACTAGTCCTTGGTGGATTGTTATATCATTGGCAATCATACCACTAGTCCTTGGTGGATTGTTATATCATTGGCAATCATACCACTAGTCCTTGGTTGATTGTTATATCATTGGCAATCATACCACTAGTCCTTGGTGGATTGTTATATCGTTGACAATCATACCACTAGTGCTTGGTGGATTGTTATATCATTGGCAATCATACCACTAGTCCTTGGTTGATTGTTATATCATTGGCAATCATACCACTAGTCCTTGGTGGATTGTTATATCGTTGACAATCATACCACTAGTGCTTTATTTGAGTTCTTAATTTTAAACTAATGTTATTGGGTAGATCAAGTTATATTAGTGCAGTCTAGTAGTGGTTTCAAAATTGCAAAAACCTGAAAATAAGACTTTATAAAAAGTAACCTCCGAAGCAATTTGTTTGTGTATAGAGAAGGTCATGTTACCTTTGAAATTTTTGCAGTTCTAGTTAAATAAACAAATTCATTCAATTATTCTGCCATATAAAGTGGTTAATATTTATATATTTTTGTCAGTGCTATATAAATAAACTGTCAATAGAAACTGTTAAATCTTTTTGATGCTGGAACAAAATTTCTTTTGAAAAATAATCTATATATTTTAATATTTTATGGAAATCAATTGACACGAACACACTTTCAAAATAAAAAGGATTTTAAATTGGTATTTTCTCCACTCGAGTAAAAATTACTATTCACCAAATAGAAATGTATTATCAATTTAAATAGGTAAAATGTTATATACTTGCTAAGTCATGTCGTGTTACCAACGAGACCAGCCTCTCACAAACAAACTTCAATTTCTTTCGGAAAAGAAAAGAAAAATACTTATGAAAATAAAAATTACTTATGCGTAACTTTGATCATTAGTTTTAAAGAAAGTAAAGTGACCGTAGTCACGTCATATAACGTAAGAAATGTCACTTAGTTTTTATATAGGATAAGTGGTGTTAATAGTTAGCTGTGATTATAATGTAATATAACTAAAGTATGACAGATGGGTAAGAAGATTTCTAATAATATTTGTATGTATATTTATAAATATCAATTTGGATATATTCTCGATTCAAACCATAATAATAATAATGATTATAATGTAATATAACTAAAGTATGACAGATGGGTAAGAAGATTTCTAATAATATTTGTATGTATATTTATAAATATCAATTTGGATATATTCTCGATTCAAACCATAATAATAATAATAATAATAATAATAATAATAATAATAATAATAATAATGATTGATAATAAACAAATAAAAAACAATAAAACTTTTAAGAATTTTTTTCAAGTATATTTATTTTATGAGAGCGAAATTTATTTGGGGGATAGATTTAGTCGTTGTTTTCCTGAAAGCTTACACCAGTAAAAAGTTTTATGTAGACTATTGTTTGTACTTCTGCCTTTGTTTTCTATTATATCGGAGTTCAGTGTTTTTTATTGTCAGTCCTGTAATGTTCTTGTAACTTTCACTGATTAGATTGGAAGAGTTGCGATACCAATAAGACTATGCTAACTAACAATTTAACCTGACCACATGTTCATATAGCTGAGATATAAAAAGAAGAAATGGGTGAGCTAGTCTAAAGTCAGAACCTTTTAAGCGGTTGTCTTCAGTCATATTAAATGGTTTGTTATGAAATTTTGGAAATATATTCTTAATGGCAATTCTTTGATGGATAATCTGTTTAATCTATTAGCATTTTTTTTACTGAAGGCTATTTATAAAATCTATATTGCCCACTAATCACTATACATTGTTTCTTTTAGAGCTAATATGGACCAGAATTGGGCAAAGAAAATGAATATAGCCAACAAAGAAAGAGAAAACGTAGCCAGAATAGTATGGCTGTTAATGGATGCAGGAACCTTTGCTTTACGGAGCACATTTGACAGTGTCCATCCGCCATTAAACCTGAGGGAGCACCTGTCTCAGGCACACATCAAGGCCGTACTACAACGTCTGCATACCTCCAACGTCATCAACGACAAACTATGGGAGATGTTATACCCTCTTAATAAGAAACACACCACGTCACAGCAGTACGACAGCAGGGCTTTGTGTATCTTACTACAGTCTATATGTCATCTGTGTCCGCCATATCCAAATGGTTGGGGCGTGGCACCACTTCCCACCGATAGCAGTCTTAGCGCAGACATTGTTCGATTACAACTCTTACACCAGAAAGTAGCACGTATGGGTGAGTAGGGACAACACATGGTGTGGGGGTTTTATGGGAAAACTATGTGCAATAGGAATTTTCAGCCTAATTTCCCCGACTTTTTTTTCTAAGTTTGCTATTTGACGAAAAAACCCAGAATCTTCCTGCTGGTTTCGGTAATGGCTATAAAATGAAACACTGAAAACCTACGGTTTAAAAATGTGAAATCAGACCAAACATTAAAACCGTGAAAAGCAGAAAATGTATCTTAAGTACGATATTTTATATATGCAATGAATTTTTAATTATGAAGTTAAATGTGAAACAGAAAAATCTACAATAGGACTCAAAAATTTAATCCAAGAACAAGCATGTCAAACTTTTCACAAGTTCTTATGCGGTATCATGTCAAAATATGTGTATCAATTGTTGTGTTCTTTATATTTAACCATGACAAAGGGAATTCATTGGAGTACATAAATGTAGTTTTGTCTGAGTATGGTTTTCTGGCTTGCCTTCATACAAACTGATGACACAGCATAGTTTACAGGGTAATTGTCAAGGAGTGTATAGGAAATATCAAAAAGCACAAGAGACAACCAACGTCAAAAGCGACAACCAACTATAAAAATAGAGAGGTGTGCTATGATTGACAATGAAACAACTATACACCAGAGTTCAAATGAAGTGGATTTAAGCAACAATTGTCCAACATACAATTTTTAAGTATGAGCAAAACCCATACAGTATGGTCGGCCACAAAAGGTCCTGACAATATGCATTAATGTAGAGGTTTTCGTCTATGAGACAGCAACCAAAGGCACAAAAACCGTGAAGACATCTTTAGATCAACGAATGGGTCTTAACACTACTAGGACAAAAATGCCACGCATGTGTCACGCATGTACCTAAAAACGCATGTGTTACAGGTGTGGCATTTTTGCCAGTGTAGTCATGTGTCTATAAATAAAAAGATACTTAAAATAATTCTTTATTCACCAATCAAGGGACTACTATAGGCCGAATAGCGTAACTTACTTTACACAAATGTAATTGTTAAAACAAGAAACGTTATACGGAAATACTTCTTGAAAGCAATCTTATTTGAAAAAAAGGAGAACATGGATCTTATTGTTGTCTATCATCTGAATTGTATGTAATTATTATATGAATGTTTTCTTCAGATATGATATCACCAGAGGAGTTTGTAGCATTATGGAACCAGATTAAAGAAGTACTGGTTCGGTTAGGAGGTCCACCAATCAGAGTCCGTCTACACAGAATAGAACACGAGATGATAACTACAGAACTACAGAACCATTATGTCAATCTGTTCCAGGAACAATGGGCAGACGGTAGAAAACTCGTCATGACACCGAAATCTACTGGGTCTAGGAAGAGAGGAAGGTCAATGAAAAATAAGAAAGAAGAAAATGGTATGTCTTAAAAATAGAAAAAAATCAAAAGGGCTAAACACCTTCAGTGGAAGAAAAAGAGACAAATAAGTCATTAATGGATTTTTTTCATTTTGAGTGTTGGGTGTTGCTCAATATTTAGTTTATTGTGTTTGCATAATGCTAATGGACTGTTGTGTGTTTTTTCTTAGTTTTTCTTTTGACCATGGTGTTGTCTGTATTTCTTCGACTAATATTTTTGTTTCCCTCTTGGTATGGTCTCCCTCTTTTGATGATTCCATTACATGGGAGATGTAGGATATACGTCAATGAAATATTAAACCGATGACTCAAATTACAAAAAGGCAAATCATATACTAAAGTATATATTTTTTTCGAAAAAATTTTGGTTTAGAGCATTAAAAAAACATAATTGATAAAAGTATTTTGAGTCATTGGCTTCATAAATCAATTACATGAGTTTTGAATTAATACATTGAATCATATTCTAAATGAAGAAGAAGACAGAAAGTTGGTGTTAAAAATAAGAAACAAATCTGATAGACTTGGTATAGATTTGGAACAATTTTGCTAAAGTATGATATTGTGTTTGTTGAAATATCCTTGCAACTTCAGGGTTAAAAGTGGGCATGACTTGTCTAAGCGAGAATGTTAGGGATCTCATACATGAAAAGTAACTTATAGAAATTTTTTACATTGATTAAAATTACCCTTTTGACAATGTAGATATGTTTTTGTTCAGGAATACCAAAAGAAGACAAAGCCGTTTTACTGAAGACATACCGGATGTTTGTTGATAATGTACAAGCAGAAGACATTCTCGATCGTCTGCAGCAGAACCAGGTTCTGAAGTTCAGCGAACGTCAGGAGATTCTGTCTCATTCGAAAAACTCCGAGAGGATGCAAATAATCATAGAGAAAATACATACCACGAAACTGTCCTTCGGATTCAAGGCGCTTTGTGATTCTATCAAGTTCAAGTATAAAAAGTTGTACGATGTTGTCATGGCTATCAGGAAAGAAGTTTACAAACATGGAATAAAAGACACAGTTGGTAAGATAACAATTATATAACTTGATTTTTTAATGAAATTTAGAATTTTATCATTTGTTCACCAAAATTATAATTTTCTGGCAAAATATATGCCATGGACACATACACTCATTTATACATCTAGAAATTTACGTTCTATAGTTAATTCTTATAGTCTGTTTTCTACCAATTTTCCTCAAATACATGTAGTAATGTTTTTTTCTATGTATATTATATATTTCCTATACATTTTGCTATTTAAAGAAAACAGGAGAGACGAGATAAAATTAAAGTGTAAGATATGTGTTTTAATGCTAGAGTTGCTGATTTGAAATATTTATGATATATTTAAGACTTAGAGGACCTGGGTAAGCTAACCACTCTCACATTTCAGTTAATTCGTGTTCCCCTTTTCAGGAATTCATAATGCACATGTACATGTATTGGGAATGTTGAGATTCCTTTTTCCAACTCTTGTAAGTTTTTTTTCTTGGAATAGCTCGGCTAATATCACCCATTCCCAGTAGTAATATGATATAACTATTTGTTATATGTAAAGTGTTGTACTCAGACACACTTCTTCTGACTAAGTCCACTTTGCTGCAGTTGATCCCACAGAAACGTGTGTTCAGAATGCAGAGGGGTCTTGGTCGACCAGGCGATATCCATTTAAGGCCCAAAGTTTTTTTTTAAAGTAGCGTTTAAAAATAGCCATATCATAATCTTAAATGTAGCACTGCTAAAACAATTCTTTAATTTTTAATTACATATACAAATATTTTCCTTGTGCAGGGGTATATGTACCTGGTAAGTTCTCCGAGTCTTTTGGTCTTTTCTAACATTTGGAAATACAGATAATAATTTGCAAGCACAGCACTTGTAATATCAGACACGTGTTCAAGAATATTTTCATGGAAGATTTTGTATTTTGCACGTTTGCAATATAACCCGAAATAACAACTTTTTTCTATCTATTTTACCACTTGTAAGATTTTTTTTCAATAGACCAGCCACTTAATTGAGGGAGAACAGCTTTTCTTTTTTAAAAAAATATTACACTGAACAGTTTGCATTTCATCAGGTCTTCAAGAAAACACGTAGTTGTTAGACTTAGAGAAATTTTGCAGCTGTATTGCTAAACATGTAGAGATTGTTTTATTTTGCTGTAAATATATCTATATATATATATATATAATGTTGTCCGATTCGTTTATTTATGTACAAGTAATTAGCAATAGTAGTGATGCAAATCATTAAGATTTTTTTCCATTCAAAGTTGTTTTTTATTTAAATTTTTGTTAGATACGTAAGGTATTATGTAAATAATCTTTTTACATGTTGTCTTTATTTGGCATTTAATTTTTGGATACAGTAATCTCTTTATTAATTGTGTTTCTCTCTCTGAGAATGGTAACCATGTTCCTGTAACAATATATACAAAATTCTATGGCAACCCCTTAAAAATGGGGGAATAATGGAGAATTAAGGAATATATCAGTGTGATTTTTGATGATATATATATTTTTTATTGACTTGTGAAGTATTCGGTGATAAAACTGGTAAGATTAAGCACTGTCAAGACTGTATTCACTGTTGGGCTTTCTGTGTACACCAATTGATTTTAGTTTTGTGTTTGTTTCTGACTACCAAATGCACAACAATCCTCCCCTTAAAGTCTGATGTTTATAAAATATATGTTTTTATGTACTTTTTGTCGGAAAAAAGAGGAAATTATTATTCCCACCAAAAAAACAAAGATAAAGATATTAAAATGCAACAGTTTCTGAATATGTTTGCGTCCTTTGGGAAAACCCTACATAAGTTTGGGGGAAGGGAGAGGGGGGCCTCCATTTAACTTCATTATAAGCCATATATTGCCAATTTGGATATCAAACCAAAATTATTTAGACCAACAGAATCAACAGAACCCAAAGGACCAAAATATCAAAGTGTCGGAAAATATCATTAATCATACACATGACTCAGTCAGTGGCGCTCTAATTAAAACTGTTTGGAGGCAACGAAATTTTGTGAGCACAAATATCATCAATACTAAAAGAGTATTCATAGAAAAGCCAAAATGATCAAAGGTGTCTTGGCCTGCTGAGGAAATCGTCTAAAATAACAACCTTAACGGCAACATTTCTTCTGCACCAGAAGCGCATTTCAACACAAACTTCTTCAAAATCTTAATGCCACAATGATAGGAATTTAAAACTATTCGATTGGAAAAAAAAGATGAAGAAAATATAGCATATTTAAGGTGTTTTACATTTAACTCGTAAAGTATTAATAGTGCTAATGGTATTCAAATAACTTGTATTATAAAACAAGGTATTAAAACTCCTGGGATCAATTTTAGATCTAAGATAAATTTTTGCACAGTTTAAATTCTATAAACACGGTTAACACCTATATATAGTTAATATCAATGAATATATATTATCATACTGAGAACTTTAAATAACTGTGTCAAATGACCATGTATAAACGGTTTTGAATGATATATTTATTGATAAATTAAAAACTTATTTATGAGTTAAATGATCTGACATGTGCGCTGGTAACCTGATATTTCATTCTTATGTTGCTTGGTAACAGTATACAGACAACACTCTGGTATTGACACTTTTTTTAATACTTAGAATATTTCATATGCAACAAACCTGTCGGTCTCTCAGTGAAGTTAAAATCATTGAATTGCAACCTAATCAAACTTTGAAACGATACCCTTGAAAAATGAATAAAAACAAACTAGCAAAGAATAAAACAGAACGAGTAAAAAGTCCAAAACTAAAAACAAATGCTTCTTATGGGTTTTCAATGGTCCTTTTCAGTTTGATGTGAGAATCGAATTTGACGCCATTTTTGACCTTAATAAATCATTTGATTATGTCCAAATTTGGTCATAAAGTACAAATTCCTTAAAACTAGAAATTTTATATACACTAACAATAAGCTGCGTATAAGATAAACTTCATTCCAAGAAAAAGAGACTGACAGTAAAGTAACAAAACAAGAACAGATGAGCTTATCAAGTATACCTGTCATAGAATATACTTCTAATATATACCATGTTATGTTATATTGTTAACAGATGTTGTTGGCGTATGCCGGGATTCTCTATACCAGACGTACAAAGCTATGTTTGCCAAATGTCACCCGTTTTCCTGGGCTGATAACATCTCTGTAAATATAAGGGATCTTTATACACCTCTAGATATTCTGGACTCGAACGGGTAGGTATTACCGCACTGGAACATTCTGCAATTAAAAAAAAATTATATATTTTCTACACGTATTGACCAATATTTCTGCTTAATTTGTTTTAGTTTTTTCGATAATGCATTTAAAAGATTTTATATGAGTGATTTATATCATTCGAGTATTGTACCGTGAATTTAAATGCTAGACGAAGTGTATATAATATCGTTTATTAAATGATATACGATGCATTGTGGTTAATAAAAGATAGTTACCATGGTTACTAGAACGAAACCAATTTTACCCAAAAGGTAAAACATAGCGAATTTTTGTAATGGGATAAACTAATAAAAAAGGATTTTACGAGTACCATGAATATAAAAAAAATGGGAGATGTGGTATGATTGCCAATGAGACAACTATCCTCAAATGAAGAGCATATAAGCAATCATAGGCAACCGTACTGCCTTCACCAATGGAAAAAAAACCATACCGTATGATCGGCTATAACAAGGCACTGAAATGAAAAACTGTCGGACTATTTTATTACAAAACAATTTACGAAAAAACAACTATGATAAGCATGAACCAACGACAACCAAAAAAGCTGTTGTAGATTATCTAAAAAAACCCAGACAATTTATACGTGCCATACTTTATATCGTTTATTTAAAAGATATGCCTAGTGCTTTATGTGTAATTGATCTTTCTGTGTTTTTATTTTCTGCAGACGTAAGCTACATTTGAGTGATATATTTCCACCACCCTGTACGAATGGTAAAGGGCAGAGGATTGTACTGGAAGGCACTGGAGGAAGCGGCAAGTCAATCCTATGTGCAATGATAACCCAATTATGGGCAAGCCATAAAAACTACTTCAAATATAATTACAATATATTAATACATGTTGACATTGCGACGATAAATGGCGATTTTAAAACCGAAGTTTATCACAGGTTATTTCCGGATGATTTCAAAATCAAACTGAAAGATTTTTGGTCGACCATGGAAGAAAATTCACATGAAATTGTTATGCTGATTGATAGCTACGAAGGAAAGACAGGGATGCGGGATTTGCAGGAAATAATATCGGGTTCCAGTCTTCCTCAAGCTACAGTGATAGTGGCCACAAATCCGGATATATCCCATAGTTTAGGATTTTCAGCAGACTCAAAACTTTTCAACATGGGCTATAGCTCACACAGCGTAGCTCGGTGCTTTAAAACTTATCTGTACCACTTCAAGGCTCATCCAGATAAACACCAAGCATTGTTCGACTTGATTGAAAATGAATCATGGTTAATGCATAAACATCTTGCTCAACCAATCGTGTGCCTTCTTATATTTGCTATTTATCAGATCAATAAAACCGCCAACTTGGATGACATTGACTGCATAACCAATTTATTTGAAGTTTTTGGTTTAAGTATGGCAACCCATTACTGTAAGCGACAGAAAATTGACGTAATTGGTTATGAATTCCCCGAAGATGTTGTAAGTGCAATAAACGAGCTCAGTAATTTTGCTTTCGAATCATTAAGAGACGGGAAACGTGCCTACCTCGAAGATGAAATTGTAACTCCGTCCACCAATTCTATGATATTTCATCTAGGTGTTTTCTTTAGACTCAATGGACCTCATTGGAAATTTACATGTACACTGATGCAGGACTTCCTAGCCGCGAGGCATTTGAGCGATTTTGTATTGGAGGAAATGTCAACCATCTTGACAGACAATAAAATGATGAAATACTCGCGCTATTCACAGATGATCACTTTGTTATGTGGTCTTTTCCGCGATGATTACGATACTTCTACTCTAAAGAGCTTGTTCACCGATCTTGCCATGCGTAATATAAGTAATACTAAGGTTTTGGGAGATGATGTGCAGTCGGTTCGATCAGCTGATTCTAGAACGAGTATATCACATGCACCGAGTGGCAAGTTAGTTGATTACAACATAAGTTTACAGAGCCTAACCGAGTGTGATTACAGGGAAGATATGTGTGAGATTGTTGCTCAATCCTTACCTGCCAAAATGATTATAAAAAGGGATGGACTTATTTCAACTAAAACTCTGGAGGCTTTACCTCTTGTGATGACAGGAGAAGCCAATCGAATAACCTATCTAGAGCTTGTTTTACAACCGTCGTATTCAAGTCAGGCAGCAGTGTATACAGAACTTGCGAAAGGAGTCGCAAAAACAGGTTGCATTAAACACCTAAAGATTCACTGGTCGACCTTAGATTTAATGGCTAGAATTTTGGACGCCTTTATGACCGAAGTTAGTTCAGTGGAAAGCATAGTTCTTACTGATATATGTAAGAAATCGATTAAACACGTGTCAGCAGATACATGGGCAACATTACAAAATGCATGCGAAAACATGACAAAAACTAAAGAGTTTGCTTTCCTCAATGGTAGAGTAGCCGCCATAGCATACTTTGTTTTGCAACACCTACCAACAACAATCCGGGAACTTAACTTTACCGGATGTAAATTGAACATGATGTGCGCATCTGAACTCAGTTATAAATTAGAACATGCTAATTCATTAACGAAACTAGACATCACAAACACACAACTCGCCGGTTCTGATTTTGTTGCCGTTTTACAGGGTCTAAAGATATGTCCGACAATTAAACATCTGAAACTATGTGGTGCCAAGCTTGACAGACCGGGTGTTATTACACTATCTGAATGCCTTCGGCTTACTCGAACCCTTCAGATCTTAGATTTGAGTAACTGTGAACTGGACACGGAAATGTCTAAACTTCTAGCTAATGCCATTGCTGACAACAGGAGTCTATTGAAACTTGTTTTGAAAAATACAAAAGTAACATTAGAAGGCAAGAACGTCATTTCTCATACGAAATTTGTACAACTAAAGGTCATAGGGTTAGATGATGCTAAACACTTACTTCTTACTATATAGCTTGTATTTGTTCTATTAATTTTTCATCATTTTAACCACCTATTTATTTCTTTGAACTGTCATCTTTTCAAAGTACACGATTAAACCTTCAGTATTCAACTTATGATATATTTGTAGTCTACGCAAATGCTGTGAGCAATGCAGAAACGGCATTTTTTAATATAAAAATTAAAAAAGATATCTATTTAAAACTCGGTCGTTTTCGTAAAAAGGGAAAAATAACAAAAGATAAATGTTCAAATATGTAAACTAAGGCAATACTAGAAGGTCTGTTTTGTGTACAATTAATTCTGTCTACACTGAGCAGTTTTGGGACTGAAGAACTGGCTCGATAGGACAGATTTTCAATATATATTGATGAATAACTGACGTTTATACAGGCCAAACAAAAAAAAACGCGTGTTTAAGGTTTCCTTCTATGAAACATATGATGGGTAGGATTTATTTTTGTATTGGACTTGTTTTTTTTTACCTTCAGTATATGTGGACTAACTTCAATTCTGTCACAATTCATGCACTACCAAAAGTGCAAATTAAACTTTAGGGTATGTATTTTGAGGCATACAATAGGATAGGTAAAAAAACACAAGTAAACTTTTTCTGGCCTAACTGTATTACCAGATGCAAGATTTACGGTTAGATTCTAAGGACATGGTTGAACTAGGACAGGGTTCTTATTTGTTATAACATGAGGATTTTGAGTTAAGATTTATAGTTAAAGATTACATAGTACACTAACCTTAGAAAAAAAACATTCGTAAATGCATACACAAAATGAATATAAATATATGGAATATATTAACCATTATCGTTAGCATTTATTCAAGAGATGACTAGTTTGTATTGCCACTCAGTTATTTGATAATATTAGATTTCATAGTATAAAACCATAGAATGGGAATCTTATTAGGAATTATGGGAAATGGCACAAGAACCTACTTTAACTTTTGAAATTTTTATTTCATCATTATAGTGTAAGAAAAAAACTCTGTATTGTAAGAAATAAAAGGAAATAAATGAATACAGCATAATTTATCCTGTGATGATACTAAAAGTTAGACTTACGAAAAGAAGTTTAAAACTACTTATTCTATTCATCTGTTTTTCTTGGCATAGGCATTCAGTAAATATCTTCCACATTTGTTGTATTTTTCAGACAAATAATCTATAAATAATGAAAAAAATCACACAGTTAATTATTTTGCAAAGTTATTCCCTCTGAAATAAATTTTTAATAAAGGTATATATGAAAAGTCAGAAATTCTTTTTTTTTTAAAGCGACCTTGATGATGTGATGTGCCATGGTATGGAGTAAACATGTTTCCATTTATTTTAGCATTTATTTCAATGGAAAATGTCATTTTTACACATAACATAAATTATTTAAGTAATCTGTGATTAAAATCTGTGATATTTTGCAAACAAATGCATTTATGAATTTGATGCATTTATGGGTATTAGATTGTAGACAGAATAAAATTCGTTAAAATTATTTATTTGTGTTCTTTCCAGCCATTATTTTGCCTGTATGAGATGTATATCGCTGTACCCATACTTGGCGACGTAGACAAATTTATCTCAATAGAATTAAAGAGCAGTTTCGAACAATCACTGTAACATATTCAGGTCTGAGAGTATAGAAATGAATTTAATGTAACCAAACATATTGCAAAGAATGTAAAACTTCACATGATTGTATTTGATCATCAGCTACATTGACCCTTATGTTTATTTATGATACATAAAACAGGTAACTCCGAAAAAGATTTCTAAACGGAGACAAAAAACAATTAACAATGCATGACCAGGATATTCTGATACTCGCATAAATGTTCTAGGTTTAAAACTGTTAACATATACATAAACATAAACATAATTAGGGAAGGAGGGTCAAAGTGTGTTGTGGTTTACCTGCAAGAAACCGAAAAATCAGAAATAGCACTCGTAAAAGATTTCATAAAACTTTCTGCATAATACTGAATTACAATTTATCAATTACAATGAGTAACACAATGGGTTCCATAAGTCAAGAAGAAACGTCAGTAACCAACAAAGTGTGTTCGACTCAGATCTAAATTGGCTATAAATAAAGGCAACTGTAGTATACCGCTGTTCAAAAGTCATAAATCGTTTGAGAGAAAACAAATCCGGGTTACACACTAAAACCGAGGGAAAAAAGTAAAATCACAAAAATACTGAACTCCGAGGAAAATTCAAAACGGAAAGACCCTAATCAAATGGCAAAATCAAATGATAAAACACATCAAACGAATGGACAACAACTGTCATATTCCTGACTTGGTACAGGCATTTTCAAATGTAGAAAAACACATCAACTATAAGAGGAAAACAAAGGAACAACAGAAACATTGAAGTGCAACAAAAACAAACGCGAACATACATAGAAACGAACTATTTGATAACAACTGCCATATTCCTGACTGGTGGGTTGAACCTGGTTTTATGGCTAGCCAAAACCTCCCGCTTATATGGCAATGTTAAAAAATATCGCTAAAATGACAACACTACGTGACAGAAATGCAGCACATCACTCATCACAGAGAAACGCACAAATAAATAATGTAATAGTCGATACAACATGTAAACCGCAGAATAACAACAAACATCTTCCATTAACGACGGACAGCACAGGACATCACAAACAGTGGCGTATTTTTGTAACGAATATATAATCTTGAAATTCATACAATTATTTTCACAATACTAGTCCAAACAATTATCATGATCATGACGATATTTCAAAGGCTATTTCATAAAAATCTTTTGGACTACAAACGATTAGACATAACACATTATCAAACGGAAACCACAACAGAAACATCATCAATAAATACATGAATGTTGGGATGTATAAAATACCGAGACACGTCGTATAGCAATGCAAATTCACACTCGGCAAAACAGTCATATTCGGGAATAGGTCACGTTCGGTACTTAGCAGACAGACGACATAGATGTTAAATCACAATCTAAGACGTGGTAAAAATGTCATTAGTTAGTTTAGACACAAACACATCGTATAGATCAACCAATTCGTGATAGTGTCCATAAAATTTATGGAGTGTCAATTTAAATCTTTCCTCCTCATAACTCTGTTGAAGCAGTTTCTGCGTTAGGGGCACACTCCTGTATATAAATCCGTATAGTGTGAACATGCACGAACATAACGTATCAATTGAGATATATAGAATGGAGAATGGGAATGTGGAATGTGTCAAAGAGACAGCAACCCGACCAAAGAACAGAAAACAATGAACTAAAATTAAAAAACACCATACAAGACTTAACAAAGGACAGAGGCTCCTGACTTGGGACAGGCGCAAAAATGCGGCGGGGTTAAACATGTTACTGAGATCTCAACCCTCCCCCTATACCTCTTGCCAATGTGGAATAAACAAACACACAGCAATACGCACAGTAAAACTCAGTTTAAAAGAAGTCCGAGTCCGATGTCAGAATAGGTAACAAAAGAAACTAAGTAAAATGACAATGTCACATAAATTAACAAAGGACTACTAGCAGTTACTGACATGCCAGCTCCAGACCTGAATTAAACTGATTGAAAGATTATGTCTTCATCATATGAAAATAAAGCACAATCCCTCCCGTTAGGGGTTTAGTATCATACCATCATAAAATATACGAGAAGAACATAACCCGTATCATGTCAACAACTGGTTTTAGAATAAATGTGTTATTTCCGATGCAAAGACCCTATGAGTGAATCAATATTAATACCAAAATATGCCATCTTTTATGACCTGACAACAGTATCGTAACTATATCCCTTCTGAATAAGTCTGTTTAAAGGTTTGGGTAGCTTTTGAGGTGAATGTCGATATTTTTGTGCTTTGTATAGACTATTACCATAAAAGATTGGATGTGAAATACCTGAACGCATTAGATGTCTGCATGTTGATTTATATTTACGAATGATGTCCTTGTACCGATGATAAAATTTAGTAAATGTTTTGACTAGTTTGTGATATCGAAAACCCTGGTGTAATAATTTTTCAGTAATACAGAGGTTTCTTTCGTTAAAATCTGAATGCCATTTTGCGGGCCGAAGGTCGGTGGCTCTCTTCAGGTACTTCGGTTTCCTTCACCAATAAAACTGGCCGACCCAATATAGCCAATGGTGCTGAAAGGGAGTTAAACAGCCACAATTAATATATAAATCCATATTCTGTAAACATTGTTTGAGAAAAAAAACGACTTTAAATGTGTCTTAAAACACATTCGAGACCAAAACTTAGAGTGGTATCTGCCAATCTGTTCACACGCAAAATCTGATGAGTACGTAAACCATATTGTTCACGTCAAGGACTAGGCTATAATAGCTAACAGTTATTTACCGATGTTCAAATCTTATAATGTGAAAAATTTGGAGATGTGGCCTTATTGCCAATGCGACGACTATAAATCAATCAAGGGAACAATGAAGAATGAATAAATCGAGATAAAAACAACAACTTAAGGTGCATAGACAGGGAATGCGCCTCCTTCGATGTACGCATCTCCCACCATGCGAATCCATACTGAGTCAACATATCAAAACAGAAAAATAAGACACAATCGATTCATTCACAAATCAGACAACTACATATTGTAGCAGCCGTATTCATCCAGTGCTGTAAAAAATAAAAACAAAACTTTATAAATTGCATGCGTTCGAATTACTTTTGTGGATTAACCTTCATCAGGAAAGCTCACAGTCAAGTAATTGAAGTCAGGGACGTATGTTAAACGCATCATAGATACCAGGATTAAAATTTGTACGCCAGACGCCGTTTCGTCTACAAAGGACTCATCAGTGACGCTCGAATAAAAAAAGTTATAAAGGCCAAATAAAGTACGAAGTTGTAGAGCATTGAAGACACACAGTCCCGAAAGGTATTGTAAAATACAGCTTAGATAATCTATTCATGGGGTAGAATCCTTGGTATTTCGAAAAGTTCTGTAAACAGTTAACTTATAATTATGACCATACCAATGATAATTCATGTCAACACAGAAGTGCTGACTACTGGGCTTGTTATACTTTCGGGGAGGAAGTCCCAGTGGCAGTGGCATCGACCCAATGGTTGTAAATAAACTCATCATAGATACCAGGATTAAAATCTTGTACGGCAGAAGCTCGTTTGCTCTACAAAAGACTCATCAGTGACGAAGATAAGAACCGAAACAGTTCAAGAGCTATATGTCCAAAAAGGGCAAACAAATTATAGTCCAATCCATCTAAGATCAACTTTGACTGAAGGATTTGAAACATTAGTTTCTAATAACATATAGCATATAAAGGATGCAGAGCATTTACATTACTCTATTCAACGTCCATTGCCACTGTAAGAAAGAAACTCGTTCTAAACATTATTGGGCCACCCAATGGTATAGTAATCTGGTATGGTATTACCCAGATCCAGTCTAACCAATCAGAACATACATATAATCCTCCAGTTGCTGACAAATTCAAATTAACCAGTGTTCAAAGGGGGGTAACTGTATTTCTAAAACTGATTAATACAAACCCACGTAAAGTTGGTCCCAACCTATTTAATTTCCGTGCAGTTCTGTTTAACTAGTCTTCACATATTCTATCAACATTTTTATTTGGTACACCCGCTTCACAGATGAGAACGAGATTTGATCATCTGATTACTGTGAGAAACGTGTTGTGTTCTGATTGGAAGTCATAGTTTCAGCCTCTTGAAATTCTAAGACGTTAAGCACCCCCTTTCCAAAGTTAGTGTATTTGAGAATGTAGATAAGTTCAGAAATAGTAAGGTTTTCACATGAAGACATTAGCTTGAGAGTCAATATTATGAGTTTTATTACTACCTGTAATAATTAATTCCTCCATTTGATTATTTAACCTGGAAAATAGTTCCTAAAATTCTCACATAACATGTGTAGTAAAGCTATCCTTACGACTAGATTATATCAATACAATCCGTCATTTCGTGTATCCATTTCTTTGAGTATAACAGTTCAATAATCTAAATGTTGTTTACAGATCGAATTTTCGTAGTTCCAATTTGAGTATTCGGTTTCTCAGTAAGCAAACAAAAAAATGATTTTGCTTCCACTTGTACCTCATTTGCCAGTTGGATTTTTGCTGTTCTCACGAATTTGTGTAAAAATTGGTAAACCTTAATTTTCTTTAACAAGAAAGTGTCTGCCGTAGTTTTTTTTTTACTCTTGAGTATTCATTTTCTGTAACCCTTTTCTTTTTATAACACTTGCAACTACAATACCATTCCCTTTTCACGAATGTGACCTACCAAATTAGACTATTTACCGGATTTGTAATAACATAAGCAACACGACGGGTGCCACATGTGGAGCAGGGTCTGCTTACCCTTCCAGAGCACCTGAGATCACCCCCAGTTTTTGGTGGGGTTCGTGTTGCTTAGTCTTTAGTTTTCTATGTTGTGTCATCTGTACTATTATTTGTCTGTTTGTCTTTTTATT